CATTGGTACGAAAATTCTTATACCCACATATTCACTCCATCATGATCCCGTGTATTATCAAAATCCAGAATTGTTTGATCCTCTGCGGTTCACAGAAGAAAATAAAGCTAGGAGACAAAATGGAACGTTCCTCCCATTTGGCGATGGACCTAGGATTTGTATTGGTAAATACATTATAATATTATATATTGCATTTGCTGTTCWCTTGAGTATCATACTATATTGTATACTAACATACCATAGTATACCACGGTAGTATACTAGTTTATTACTAAATTATCAAACCAAGACAAATTATATAATTAATACACCTTGTTTGTTCGACATAAATATAGGTATGCGATTTGCAGTGATGGAGGYCAAAACGGCATTAGCAGAAATAATATCGAAATTCGAAATATTTCCGTGTAAGAACACAAAAATTCCCATTAAATTAAATCCAAGATCTATTTTACTGACACCAAATGAACCAATATATTTATTATTTAMACAAATTGCATAACTTTTTGTGCAATTAAAAATAAATTATTATATTTTTACAATATTATGTAAGTATTGTAATTAATTACGATCGTTTATCAATTCTAAATATTAAATTTTCTATTATTTTATCAATAAGTTTGACGATCTTGTATGTCAGAAACACTTAGTAATATACTAATGTATAAAAAAAAAACTTTATTAACTATGTATTTTGAACTATTTTACAAAATTTATATAWAATTTATGTGCATTTGCTACAGTTAGTAAAAACTAAAAATATTACGAATCAAATAACAACACATAACCTTGTTAAAAAGTACAAATCCAATAAAGTTAACTCTAATTCGATTTTCCTAGATTATATAACTGAAGAAGAGATTAAAATCCATATTCTAAGCTATATAGAAAGTACATCTTTCTATACTAATTGTAATTTATCAAATCGTATATAAAACAGATAATCGACTACATACTATTTCCATTGGTACATATTTTTAATTCATCTCTATCAATTGGAATCTTCCCAAATTTATTTAAACATACATTAACCAATTTGTACCCCTTTTTAAAAATGGTGAAAAACAAGATTGTTCTAACTACCGTCCAATCTCATTAAAATATAATTTATCAAAAGTTTTGGCGAAATGCTTAAAAACACATCTATATAATTTCCTTAAAAAATAAAGGTAGGTACTTTGATTGCTTTACAGTCTCTTACCAGTTGTATAAGTACATAATAAATTAGATTAGACTCAATTATTGGGATTTTCTTTGATATCAAAAAAGTATTTGATTTTGTGGTCAATAAAATATTGTTAAATAAACTAGACAAATATGGTATCCAAGGGAGACCAAAAAATGTAATAAAAAATTTCTTAGAAAATCGTAGACAACAAGTTTGTATTAATGATATGTTGAGTACTATAAATCTTTTAAATTATGGTGTCCCACAATGTACTGTTTTAGGACCATTGCTATTTATTGTACATATAAATGATTTACTTAATTTTGATACTGAATTCTATATTTACTGTTTTGCGGATGACACAACAATTCTAATTCATGATTTAAATAAAATTAATTTAATACATACAGCATCAAAAATTATGAAATTTCTTAAAAATTGGTTTAATGAAAATTCTTTAGAAATTAATTTTAGTAAAACATGTTATCTATCTTTTCCCATATCAAAAATAAAGTCTTGATTTTAATGAATCCATTAAAATTCATGATAATATTTGTCAAGATATATATTCTACTGGTAATTGTAATATTGTAACAACACATAATATATAAGAGGCACAGGATCTGTGAAGTATCTTGGTGTCATCATTGGCAGATTTTTAAAATGGAATTTGCATATTGACTTAACTATTAAAAAAATTAAGAAATATGTTTGGTAGATTTATTGTAATTGTTGAGTTAGATTTATAATAAAAAGCTAAAAAAAAAAATGTTTGGTAGATTTAAAACATTAAACAATATTTTATCACCTAATAATATGAAAATRGTTTTCTATGTCATTGAGCAGTCGGTTTATTCATACGGAATTTGTGTGTAGGGTGATACCTTTGGTAAATTGTAAATATTTAAGTTTACTAATAAACTCTTTATTAAGGATAGCTTTTAAGAAACCATTTTGATCTAATACTGATTTGTCATTTAATAACTTTGGAATTTATAATTTAATGAAATTTCATGCTAAAGAATTACTAATAAACTTATACTTTTATAACCTTAATAGAGTCAGTTTTAACCATAATTATTCTACCTATAATATGTTTAATGTGTACAATTATTCTTTCCATAATTTTAAATGCAATCAAAGCTTCTTACTATCGACGAGTCAAGAAAAACCATTCATTCGATTTAATTATTCTACCTATAATACTATAAGTCTATAAATAATGCATTTAAAAAAAATAAATATAATACCTACCGAATTTGGTAAAAAAGATCCATTCCATATAGATATGCATTTCTGCATGTAATATGATATCCCTATTAATTTTTTTATAATTATGATCAATACAAAAAATATATTAAGTATAAGATAAAAACTTGTTTGTATATAACAATATGCCTTTTACATTATTTTTTTACATTTCAAGTCATATCTATTCCTTATTTTATATTATTATTATTATCTACTATTGCATTTTCAAATAATGCAATAGTAGATAATAATCTAGTATTATTATTTTTATTTGTATAATCTTACCTCTAAAATAAAAATTRYWGTCTCCTCCACAAGTCTAGGCTTTTGGAGACAATCTTTTATCATTTGTATAATTTCTCTATAAATTAAAAATGAATAAATATAATATATTATTATTGTTATTATTATAATGTTAATATTTTAATGAAATAAAAAAAATAAGTAAGAAAAGGTTAACACTTAGGAGTAATTGAGTAGAAGACTGTTAAAGACTGTTAAAGACGACAAACAAAAATGTATGGAAATGGAACTAAGGGAATTACCTCTAAAAAAACCAATAGTACCTATAAATATTATTATATTATATTTTTTAAATTTATATTACATATAATCTAATAATGTGATAGCACTATGTTTCATTACTATTACAAATTCACAAAATAATTGCTTTGACTTCATAAAATACATTTTGGTAATAGGTATTAAATATACTTATAATCAGTGTTATAATATTAGCAAATTACATTTAAATATTTTGAATTTTTAAATTGTTTGAACTTGTTTACGTGCACTAATGCCGTAATGCTGTAGTGTTGTACTATAGTATATTAGTATTACTACTGTTTATTTTTTTTAGAGTGTGTRGTGTGTTGTGTGTACTTAATGTGTGTTTTGTGTTTAGTCGTTAAGTGTTATGATTATGATTTATTGATTTACCAATTTCCCATATTGTATAATAATAAAATTGTATAAATGTTTCGATATCACTTAACGATACTATGATACCGAATGATATCGATCATCGTCTCCGTCTGATCCATCACCAATCACCATCGCGCATTCATCACAATAATACCACACTACCACTGTACCACACCAAGTTTGCAGCCACTGCTCGCATAGACATACACAATATAACATATTATTATTATTATATTATATGCCTATGGCTGCTCATCATCCATTGTTATCAACACGTTTTTCGTTATTGTTAAGCATTCTTCTCCCTGTCAAACCTAGCTCATTCATTTTTATTATCAATTTATTTAGTAAAATAATTAGGTACAATTAATTTATTGCCCGCGACAACACTAGTACAGACGTACAGTATATAGTACAACTTTAATATCAGGCACACTGTCATAGTATCCACCAGCGCTGCAGCCCAAGTGCTCAACTACGATTCCGATTTCCGACAGACGGCGTGTCGTACTTGACGTTTAGCGTTTATTCTTTATCTTTATTCTACTTTCACTCTACTGGACGATCAGGCGGCGGTGGATACCGTATTCGATTACAAGGCAATTAAATTGCTTAACTTATTTATATTCGCATTTCGCAGTATTTGTATGTAAATAATATCAGCGCTCTGTGTTTGGCAATTTCCAGAACAAGCGTCCTGTTTCCACACACACTTTTCCGTACTTATTTTGGACTACGCAGCATTCCAACATGGTGAGTACAAAGTACACAAAATATGGTGCGTACAAATGCACGACCGTCACAAAACCTTTCATCATCACTAGCTCTTACACATAAATTTAACCTATCAGTGGTTTATGTCGTAATAGGTTATACATTCTGTCTCGGCGATTCTCCAGTGAGAATTGATTTAGAAGGAAACTTAGCCCACATGCGTTGGCCATTGTCGATTACTTTTAATACCTATTATAGTGAATTATCATTATATTATCAAATTCCCGAATAAGAATATTAACTATTGAACCTCATAGGTTTTTTTTATACATATTTGAACTTTAAATGCTAATTTTAAAATTGAAATAGGTATAAAAAAACCTACTTCTTTTTGTTAATACGATAATATGACTGTTCACTTTAATATTAAACATAACTACGTTAATTTAACTATGTTATGCGATGGCGAAATGGAGATAACRAATACAGGTGTAGCGTTCTCTTAAAAAATTGGAGATAAAATTAATCTAGAGCACATCATTATGGCATAATATATTTTTTGACAAAAYATGAATATGAAATTTATTATTTTAGTTCAATTGTTTCTCTTGGATAGTTCTCGACATTTATAATAAAAAATAAATAAGATTYGAAAGTTTATAAATGTTGTAAATTTTTTTCATTTTCTTAGGTGATGGTTCTTTAGCTGAAAATGTGTTTCAATAGCATGCAAACATAAACAACTAAATTTAATTTATCATTTCCCCAGATTTYTTTTAATTTGTACACATTTTCCACTAATTTAAAGAAGCTTAGCTTTAAGTAAATGTTTTCCTGATAACTTCAGTGCTTAAGAATTGGCTCATTTAAAATTTGGTGCAATCATTTTGGTAGACATTTGGTGAAGAGTTATTCTAAATATAAATATTTATCATCAGATAATTGTTGTTCACTCAATTTTGACTTCAAATTTGCAATATTACTTAGTACAATACAATCATTTTGAGTAATTTGACAGCTTTTTTAATTTTAAACCATTACTTATTTGTAATTTTTTTGTCATATTTTCGTGTTTTAATTGTTTTAAGGTCATCACTTCCGAAATTAATATAGCTATATACCTACCGATACATTATATGTCTTGATGATACTAATTTATTTTAGCTTCTTTAAGTATAAATTCATTCCAGCTCAATTTTTATCT